GAAGAGGCAATGAGAGGTGGCACCACCAAGGGGCAGGGGACTCAGTGACAATAGTAGTACAGAGGTGAGGTATAGGTATATATCTAAACCATAGAGCCAAAAACACTATAAACCTGAGACACAAATTGCAATAATCAACCTATAAAATGAGCCTGTCAAGAAGGGGAGAAAACCTGGGGACACTGGTGAAAGGAAGCAGACACTAGTGATGGGATGGTATTGGAACACCATATTAATGAAACTCTGCTACGAATAACTTTGCAAATCAAGGTGTCTTTATGGAAAAAGAAAAAAGAAAATGAAAACAGAAAAAACAAAAAATGATGCTTTTATCGGAATAAAAATTTGATTCTCAACAAATTTGGGGCATTCTTATTCTTGTATATGAATAGGAGCAAAACACAAACAGATGGATTTTGGCATTGTGGCCTTTGGAGTCAGCAAGTCCAGATGAGTTTAAGTTGCGTGAAGATGCTCGATTCACACAATGTGATCTGCAAAATGATTTCAATAAAACATATGCCATACAGCGGTCAATAGGTTTACATAGGATAGCAAACAAAAACAATGAGTAAACTTATAAATATTTGAAAGTTGAGTTTCCTGTAGGATAGAGCTCTTGGTTATGTTGGTTCTGAGAGGTCTAAAAAATTATCACGAGTCACAAATCACAACCATCCTGTTATTCGTTGATTGCCTTGAGCAGGCCCCAGTAACGTCTCCTTCATCCTAGCCCTAAGATTATATTCAAGGCTCTTTAGGAGAAAGAGACCCATCATTGTTACTGGTATTTGGCATATTGGGTTCGCCACGGGGAGTTTGCCAGACTCTACCATGTGGGCAAGTTACATTCGGTAGCCTGCCAGTTTGTCCAAAGTAGGAATGAGATGATAAGATGTCGCGAGTCCACGAATGTGGCTGCACACTTCCGGGAGCTGGGTTTTATAGTCTCTGAGTCTTGAAAAATTATAGCTGTGACAAAGGATCCCTCAGGGAATCAGATGGGCTTCTTCTTTCCTTCTTTTTGATATTCTTAACATCTTTTACTGGCCTCCTTTCTTTTTTCACGGATCTTATGCACTCCCAGTATCATTGAGGACACAAACAAATGTTTTTAAAATTCAAAGCACAGATTTTTCAAATGTTGAATGCATAAGAAAAGTATTCTGAAAGGTAAAAAGAATGGTAAAAAAAATAACACAATAATGTAAATGACCAAGAAATGTTCATTGGAACCACTGCTTATTATTTTAGGACATTTGTTTCCAAACTTCCTAGTTTTGATCTGATCAAAACTAACAAAACACAACTTTGAACTGTATTCATCTAAATTTTCCTAAAAATTAGTTACTTCTATCTATATTTACTTCTTATATAAAGTATGCTGACTATAATTTAAAATACCATATTGTTAAAACACTGCAGATTTTCTAAGATATTCAATCTAATGTCTTCTCAATACACAAAAACAGGTCATAAATGAGCAGATGGAAATCTTAATTGGCTTGACTTCATCAATAATTTCACTCTGTATATGTAAATCAAAACATATACAATATGTTTAAATAATATAATTTTATTTGAAGTAAAAAATTTAAAAATTTTATTCATTTTTTCATTCTGCTTGAATATAAATCATTAGAAATTAAGAAAATGCATTTGATAATTACACATTTTATTAAAAAATGTATGACATTCAACTTTATATCCTAGGTTCATAACCTGATGCTAGAAATAAAGGAGATACTCAGTACATTATTACTCGTATGTGAGTTAAATTTTTTTATTTTTGTTTTTAGGCCACAGCTGGAAATGCTCAGTGCTTACTCCTTGCTTTGTGCTCAGGAATCACTCCTGGCAGTGCTCAGGAGGGACCATATGGGTTATGGGAGATGGAACCCAGGTGGGCCACATGCAACGCAAGCACCCTTTAGCTGTACTCCCTGTCTCCTTTAAGTTAATATGTAGCAATAGATGTTTGTGATGCTTGCTGTGTACTTTAAGGATGATTAATTCAGCAACCCCCACATCACTATTTTCATCGCCCCCACACTCACCTAAGTTTCTGCAACTATTTGTACTGCACAATCACCAGTTAAAGTTATTTTCCTCTCTCCATGTCTCAGTTTAAAGGTCATTTTACTAGTGAATTCTTTCTTGAGATTCACAAATAAATGCAATAACCAAACGATGTAACAATGAATAGAGACTAGATAAAAGAAAATGAAGGCTAGGGCTTTAATTTAGACTTGTGGGCCAAGAACCTGGAAAGGCAAAATACACTACAGAGAAATAAGAAAGACATTTTATGGGTAACTTCTCATGAGGGATTTGCTATATGGGTAACTTCTTTGACTTCATGAGTAACTTCTTATAAAGGATTTGACTTTCGAACATAACTGTGTGGGCAATACATCCGCCCAATAAATGGAAACTGAAGATCTTAGCAGGGATTTTTTGTTTGTTTTTTTTTGTTTGTTTAATAAATTATATTTCCCTATAATAATAAGTTATGTTTCCCTAACCACACTTAGGGAAATCTTAAAAAGATAATAGGAGGCTCTCTGTCTCTCTCTGTCTCTCTGTCTCTCTGTCTGTCTCTGTCTCTGTCTCTGTCTCTGTCTCTGTCTCTCTCTCTCTCTCTCTCTTCCTCTCCCTCTACACCTTCAAAAACCCTCCAAATAAAACCTGTTTTACTTCACTGCTTGTCTACTCCTGAAATTCTTTTCTGTGAGGTGGAACAAGAACCCCCAAAACCCTGGGTAAGGCCTGAGACTGGCCTTTCCTTTCCTGCAAAGAGTAAATCCTCTCTTTAACCTGAGTCCATGGCTCATCAAGAAATGAGGTGGGGCATCAACTCCTGTGCCTAGAAGACCAAGTGGACTTAAGGTGTGGCCTGAGGACCATCTGGTGGGGCTGTGGTGGGATGGGTGTGGGGGTGCTCAGGACCATGCCGAACAGAGGCTCATCACAGACTTTACCAGTCCTAGTCTTCCCAGCGGCACCTGGTTGGTGGAGATGGATGGGGAGGAAGTGACTAGTGACTATCTTTCTCCTCCCCACTTCACATAACTCACCAATAGGACCCACCGACATCACCACCACCAATGTGTCCAGTTTCCCTCTTGCCATACCCCATCCCAGACTACCTAATTATTCTTCAAAGTGATTCATAAGGGAAATGAAACCAACATTTAACTTTCACATATTAAGTATACTCTGGAGTACTTAAATAACTGATAGAAAAAAATCTTTTTAAAAATAGCTATAGGGAATAAACAGAAAAGAAATGAAAAAATGAGAAAAATCATTATTTTGTAACTCTAATGAAGTACTATATCTAGGCAACAATGACCAAAGGATATTTATAATATTTAAGTAGAAAATATGAGAGACCTTATACTGAATGAATCAGGCTGACAACATCTGTACCTGTTGAATAATTTTAAAGTCATAAAAATAATCACAGAATACGTGCCTAACTATATGGCTGCAATAGAAGGTATACGACTGACTATAAAGTTTCTGGCCAAAATTCTAATCTGAATCTGATCAAACTCACTGTAGATCTACTTACCTGTTTATAGGTCACACATAGTAACAACCAGGAAGGCATTAAAGGCCACAAATTATACAAAGTAGAACATGTTACAGAGTAAACATGCTACAACCAATTTCTACAACACAAATAACTCAAAACAAAATAGAAGGTAGCTATTGCTTTAAACAGATGTGAAATATAATAGCTAAATGAAATTGGTAGCTCTTCTTTAAATTTTTTCTTAATTAAATTGTGGAAGAAAATTTGTAAGATGATTGGGGAAATTCAAGCACCAAGTATTTAATATTAAAGAATGATAATAATTTTGTTTTAGTAATACTATTGTGGCTGTTTCTCATGCATTCTTACAAGTCATTGTCACTGTCCTCCCGTTGTTCATCAATTTTCTCTAGCAGGCCCAGTAACGTCTCCATTGTGAGACTTGTTGTTACTGTGTTTGGCATATCGAATATAACATGGGTAGCATGCCAGGCTTTGCTTGGCAGGCGTGATACTCTCGATAGCTTGCTGGGTTCTCCGAGAGGGGTGGAGGAATCGAACCCAGGTCGGCCCCATGCAAAGCGAACACCCTACTGCTGTGCTATCACTTCAGCCCATTCTTACAAGTAATAAAGAGTATTTGAAAAATATTGACTCACGGGGCTGCATCGATAGTGCAGTAGGTTAGGATGATTGCCCCTGTTTGAACCTTGACATCCCATACAGTCCCCTGAGCACTGCCAGGAGTAATTCCTGAGTGCAGAGCCAGGAGTAAACCCTGAGCTCCACCAGACATGGCTCAAAACCAAAATTAAACAAAATAGATATAGACCAAATTGTTTATAGATGAAATTACATAATGGCTGAGATTTGTTTCAAAATTACATTGTGAATTCATGAGAGAATTGTGAAAGAAATAAAATGGATCAAGTGCAGATTATTTGGAACATGGGCATATGAGGGTAACATATTAAGTGAAATTAAGTCAGAAGAAAAAGGATAAATATTGTATGATTGTGAACAACTTGACAAAAATAAAATCAAATTAAAACAGCAACAACAACAACAAAACAAATATTCTCACTTAACTGGGGTATATAGAGTAACAAAACAAGGGGGAAAATAGTAACTTTTGCTAGTAAACAATTAATGTTTGTAAATAAGAGCATTATGTACTAATCACGTGGATAGTCACTTACATCCTAGAGGAGATAATATATAAGTGTGGATTCAGTGGAATATTTGATATTGCTTTATCAAGACTATGATTTATTCTGTGGTTGTCACTCCACATCTTGCAAAACCACAGTCAGAAACATTATATAGACATGGTTGATTGTCCCACGACTTGGTTAATGAATAACATTTTAAACTGATTGATGGCTATGTTAGCAAGACTTTCTATTTTGGGTTTTTTTTAAAGTAGCTGTATATTTCCAGAGAAAAACTGAGACTCAAAATGCCTATGAGCAAGAATAAGCTGATTTTACTACTTGGAATGATCTGTCTGGAAAAATGTAAATCTGCAGTTCACTTTCTCCCCAAAGGTAAGTTCCAGATCTATTATATATTATTTATCTTTATATGAGAAAATAACTTTTGCTGTAAATGGGCATCCCAAGTCTACTTTATATTCCTTTGGGAAAGCAAGAAAAGCAAATATATTTTGAAGATCTAATTGCTTTTGATGTAATAATTTCAGACTTTTCTTTTTTATTAGCATATAAAATCAAGTAAAAATTTCCAGGAAATAACTGAACAAGTTGTAGTGATTAGAGAAAAATCAGGGTTGTTCATTATTGGAATGCATTATATAATTTCATTCTCTTTCATGTAGCAAGCTCTAGAAATCAGATAAAAATTAGAAGTGTCTGTAGTCTGGAGAATTGTCTTGCTGGTAAATATGTGGCACTTTCTCAGCAATGTACAATGAATCTTTATTTTTTCCCTCAAATAACAAAAACTGAGAAGAATTCTTGACTATTTTTTCTACAATCATATTTTTGCTAGTCTTATCAATCATAATGTTTTCTATTTTTGCTTCAATGAGTTTAGGAAATAGTAAATTTGGCGTCTAGGGTACTTATGATTCTCTCACCAGAAACAGAAAATTTCTCAGCTGAGGTATCATCCAGATGAAAGAATGAGAATTCGAAGACTCAGTTACATAAAGAACTAGAAGTTTTGTGACTATAGCTAAAATTGATTGTGTGGCAGTGCTTTCTGGCAGTGTTTCCTAAAAAGCATGTAGGAAAGAATGGCCTATAGCAAGAAAAGAAGATGGGACATCACAAATTATTACTAGTCTGTTGTAAACAACTTTAACCCAACTCTTAGTTGAGGATTAAAAATTTAAGGAGAGATAAGTAAACACTGCTTTTTCAGGAATAAATTATTTACACAGATAAGTTCTTTCTTTCATTACCTGGTAACTTTTCCATGCCAGACTACACCAGGTGAATAGGACAGTTATCTTTATTCTTTTTGAACAACCTGCAGTAGAAGTCCACCTCTGAAACCCTAATTTTTGGTTTGTTTGTTTTGGGGGGCCACACCCAGTGATGCTCCAGGATTACTCCTGGCTCTGACCTCAGGAATTATTTTTGGTGGTGCTCAAGGGACCATATGGGATGCCAGGGTTGGCAAACGTGGGTTGACTGCACGCCTTACCTCCTGTATTATCTCTCTGGCCCCTGAAGTCCATAATTTTTACATCAGGAAAATAAATCTCTTCATGATATGATTATCTATGTGACAAAAATGAAAGAATCCCTGGAAATGCAAATTATAGAAAAAGTACACAATGAACATAAATCCACTTATTTTGTAATCTGCATTTTTGTTATCTTATATTTATTTCTTGTTTAAAAATATATATGAGACCAAAGAAATAGCACAACAGACAAGGTACTTGCTTTGCATGTGGACAACCTGTATTCCATCCTAGGTATGATCCCTGAACAAGAGTGATCCCCGAGTATAGACCCAGGAGTAAGTCTCGAACACAGTGGTGCAAAGAAATTCTCTTTAAGTTTTCCACAAATCATTTAGATTTTAAGGAACTATAAAGAGCTTCATGGGTAGGCAACAGCTCTGGGAATACATAGCCTTGAAACCTGTTTTGCAAGAAACTTTAAAAGAGCTCTTTTAAAGGATAGAAGAAATTTCCCATTATGTGGTATTGAATATGGCACTCACTATTGGTGTATCTGGTTGACCTCTACTAAATTAACACATGTTAAAAACATACAGCAATTGGGGCTGGAGCAATAGTGCAGCAGGTAGTGTTTGCCTTGCATGCAGCCAACTCAGATTTGATCCCTGGCATCCCTTAGGGTCCCCTGAGCACCACCAGGAGTGATTCCTGAGTGTTGAGCCAGGGAGTAACTCCTGAGCATTGCTAGAGCAAGTCCTGAGTGTTCAGCCAGGGCATTTCTCCTGAGCATAGCTCAAAAAAACAAAACAAAGAACTCACAAATATATATATAAATATATATACACATATATACAGTAATCAATCACCAGAAATTGACTATTATTTTTATTTTATAATAATTCTATTTGCCATTCTTTTAAGTTTTTTGAACCAAGTTATGTGAAATAAATTTTTATATGCCTGCCAATGGAGCAAACAAAGCCCCATTTACAACAGGGAAGATATGATGATTACCACAATAAAGTTCAAATACATAACAAAATTTAATGTAATATGTTTGAGATGCCAGAATTCAAAACTTAATTATGTAAATGAGAATAGGCAGTATGCTACATTGCATTAAGTGGCTTTAATTTCCCTATTTACATAGGCTAAAATCATATCGCAATTAATACTAGATATTGATTTTTGTTGATTTATCTTCTGATAATTCCGTTTGTCATTTCTTTAATTTTGATTGGAGTAAACAATATGAAATAAATTTGTTGTAAGCCTGCCAAGGAAGCAGGCTGGTAGATTGCAGGGACTCTTGGGACATTGGTAATGGGGTTGGTGTTGCAACACTGAATTCCTGAAACAATTCTAATAGGAACAGCTTTGTAGATTGTGGTGTTTTAATTCATATATATATATATTTGATTAAATAAAACAGAACTTGCCCCCCCCCCAAGTGGCTCTCCGGCATGACCATGGCTCCAGAGGCACAAAGACTTAATCCAGAGCCCGGCAGCTTGCTACACAAAAGTGAATGGACCATGCATTAAATTATGGTGCCATGCTCCCCGGGAGGGAAAGGGTGTCTGTCCCTTCTGCCTTTTTCCCCCTCTGCAACAAGGTGGCCGCCTCCTCAGAGCTTATTGGAAAGCCAGGTATGAGCCGGCGGTGAAGGGGCAACTGTAGCCTCATGGGATGGGGGTCGGTACCGGCTAGTCCATCACAACCTACCAAGGTCATGAGTTGCCCCCCCACGAGCAGCACTCAGGCACGGCCATGGCACCAGATGCACAGAAACCAATCTCATAATTATCCGACTTTTGGCAGAAATACCTCCAGACTTAATTATTAAAATATCAGAAATCCAAAGTCTCACAGCCGCAAGAGTGGTGGCCATCATATGGTTCATCATATGGTTCTCATAACCAGCTATAGAAAACAAATTATTTCACAATGCCTTTTTGGCAGTTCTGATTGTTGGGGGGGAAATTCCAAACAATAATGGTGCATCTTTTGTTGAAATAATGAATGTATTCAAAGTAGAGAGAGAGTTAAGTAGAAATCATCTGCCTCACAGGCATCGGGAGGGGTGTGAGGGAGGAATATTGGGGGTATATTTGGTATATAGCGGTTTTTCATAACAAAATAAGTACTGGTGAAGGGAAATGTGTTTGATCATTGTATGACCGAGACATAAACTTGAAAGCTTTGTAACTTTTCCCACACTGATTCAATAAATAAATATAACAAACACACACACACAAATAATTCAGCTTCTGGGTTCAACGGGACTGGGATCAGAGTTTCTCTACCCATTTCCCCCTGACTCCAGTGGCCCAGCAGTCATGACCATAAGCTACCTCTTGCCAGTGCCAGATAATCTCATCATGGGCCACCACCTAGATCGCACAGCTTTTCTCCCAGAAGGGAGCAACATGATGTCCACCATAGCCATGCCACTGGACCCTGTGCCAGGCTGTTACATTCAGGGCACTCCAGAGAGGGCCAGGTGAGAGACCTCCCTGCCCCAAGGGACCCAGCCCCAGCAGCCGACAACCTCCACAAACCAACCACAGACCCGCTCAAAGCTGCTCCCCACAAACTCGGGCCAAACCTCACACATATATTTCTGGACTGTGTGCCCGCAAGTGCATAAGATACTCCCTACCCATTCTCCAAGGGACCACACCACATTTGATGGGGTTCAAATAGTAGGCAACCAATCATAGAGGGAAATATATATATGCATATATAAATATTTTCAGATATATATATACAAAAGTTCACATCACTCAACCTTTAACAACATGTTAGTGATATCCTAAAGAATGTCTTAATGGCCCCTGACAAAATAGAACAATCTTCACACTGTTTCTTCTATGGATACCTTTTTGTAGCATTTTCAGCGGTTTTTCATAACAAACAATACAAAATATATTATTTCAGTTGTGCTTTGGGAAAGGGATTGGGACTAGGGATGTAAACATCCCAAATATGGTGGTGGGAATGTGTAATGGTGGTGGGATTGGTGTTTAAATATTAAACGTAATCAAATATTGTGAACTACCTTATAAAATTTTTAAAAAATTTTTAAACTAAGCTTTTAGGGGTTGGAGAAGTAGCACAGAGTTAAGATACTTGTCTTTCATGTGAATAATACTAGTTCACTCCTTCACACCACATGTGGTTCCCTGGGAAACACCAGCAGTGACCGCTGAGCACAGTCAGGAATAGTCCCTGAGCACCACTGGTTGTTGCCTAAATGCCATCCCCCCCAACCCCCAAATAAGTAAACAAACTTTTAGACTGCAAGGATAAATTCCAAAAGAGAAGGGACAAATGGCCTCAGTAAAATCAGTAAAAGGGGTCAACTGTATGGTGAAAATAGAAATGGACTTTTAATGTAAATTTAATGTAGTATATATAGAAATTGACTATATTGCTCACCTGAAACCTATAAAATGCTCTAATGAAAGCAGCAAACATACAAAAATGGGATTTAAAACAATTTTCTCAGTTCTGATTCCTTAATCCTAGGAACTACCTAAACACTAAATTTTTTTCTTTCTCCAGATTACACTTGCGGATGGAGTCTAGTGCAGTCACAAACTTGGAATGATTTAACACTGTTTAGTCGCATTGTTGGGGGAAGCCAAGTGGAAAGGGGTTCCTACCCCTGGCAGGTATGTCTCAGGAATCAGTATCTGGTAGGTAACTGATCTTCTGCATTTTCATGCTACTCATGAGTATGCTCTAGCCCACCTAGCTCGTCATCAGAAATATCCTGAGAGTATGCACAGATCCAAGCCCTCCATATGTACATCAACTAAGTTCTAGAAAACGTATGTTCAGAAAAATTACGTGTACTATGAACTTGTTCCAAAAATCAGAAGTGCCACCCCAAACTGTCAACTTTTAAGACAAAAATACCACTTTGAGAAGGTAGAAAACATAGCATTCATCACTAAAAATCAGATTTTCTCATTTGATAAAAATATTTTTAAATATTATTTTATGTTATAATTAAAGATTAACTAAGAAATTCAAAAGCAACATGTGGGCTTTTAAAGGTCTAACCTATGTTTTGGGTATAAAGTTTATACTTTTACCAGGGGACCCCCCTAGAAGGCTAGTCAAGATTTCTCCTTAGCTAATACTCTAAGAATTATGTTAATCTAATTTCCACAGCCCACATACCATATAAATAACCTTAGTGCTTCTCCTCCTAGCATATGGTATTAACATTTATTGTCTATGAAGTCTCTCAGCTTTCTTTGTTCTGGGCCATTTGTATTTTTGCGTTATTAATTTTATATATACAACAATGGTAGCTTCTTATTTTCACTTCTGTCAATTATACTAACTTTTAGCTCAATAGATACTTAGAAACAATTGGTTGACTGAAATTGTGTTCAGTGGGTTGACTTATTGGTTGAGGCTGTAATTTGATTAGTATGTGACCCAATTAATTGCTAGGTTGAAGAGCTTCTTTGCTCATTGGTTGCTTCTTTGCTCATTGGTTGGTTAATCTATTCAGAAATCCACATTCATATAATCACCAGGGATAACTCATTTCCTTTATTTGATCTTCTAGTCTTAGCCCTTTCTATTAAGTTTTTAAAATTTCACCAAATGAATTTTGGCTGAAAGGGTGACAATACATATAAATTGCTTCATTCTAACTCCAACAATGGAATTAAAAATATTTACTCAGAGTCATTTTTCCATCAAATAAAATATCAAAAACAGGAGAAAGCAAATATGGAAAGTAACTACAGGGGCAGATCAAAAAATAAGCTAAGGGCTGGAATGATAGCACAGCAGGTAGGGCATTTGCCTTGCACATGGTCAACCTAGGTTCGATTCCCAGCATCCCCTATGGTCCCCTAAGCACTGCCAGGAGTAATTCCTGAGTGAAAATCCAGGAGTAACCCCTGTGCATTGCCGGGTGTGACCCAAAAAGCAAAAAATATTTAAAATTTAAAAATTAAAAAAATTTTAAAAAACTAAAAAGTAGGCTACACGAGATTGTAGCAGCTAAACACTAAGGTAGAAGACTCTTTCTTGAAGACTAGTTCCCTACAAAGGTTAGCAGAATTGCAGCATGACTATTGGTAAGCTTTGTTTGGCCCTTACTTTGTCTTACTCCCAAACCTATTTTTTAGACTCTGCTATATCTTATCCATCTTTTTTCTTTCTCCATATTAACAAATATAGCTCATATTAGAGTATCAGTCTCTATAAATATTATTACATGGATAACTATTTAATTTTTAAAACTTTTTAAGTTAAAAATTAGATATAAAATATTATTGAACATTTTTCTTATCACAAAGTAATAAAAGCTTAATGTAGAAAATGAAAAGCAGCATAATAGAGGAAAACTGCTTAGTAATCTTCTCCAAATTTACAAATTTAGATACTTAGTAATAGATTATTGAGGTTGTGTTCAGCATGTTGACTTATTGGTTGAGTCTGTAATTTCATTAATATAGAACATACCAGGTATGCTCTGCTGACAGCCTTGCTCTTTTTCCTGAGCTATCATGAGATAGATTTTAAATTCTTCACAATCCATAACTTCTGATATGGTTTAGTAACAGGTCTGGTCTATTTTTTTAGAATATTCTTTGTCCCCAGGTGTAGGTACAGGTGTGGTCCAGAGCATTAACTTGTTTCCATTTAAGACCTTTGCAATTTAGGTGTCTCTAAAACGCAATCAGAAGCATATCTGTGGTGGGACCATCATCTCCCCACAATGGGTGATCACAGCTGCTCACTGCGTTTCCAATGTGTAAGTATGGCCTAGTGAATGGGTAAAGGGTACGTTGCTCCATTTCTTCCTTGAAATCAGTGTGATATCTCGAGTAAAATATAAAGCCATGTATTTTAAGCTTTAATCCAAGAAGAACTAAGTGATCATATTACTTCAGTATGGCAGGCGGTTAGGCTAGAGAAATGCTATGCATCCCATTGGGTACCTAATATTGCCAAGATTTAAGGAATTATAACAATAGAAAATTATTCCCTTTCAATTTTGTATAAAATCATTATATCTGGAAATAAAGAGTGACAAATAAGGCAAATTTGGAATTCAATCCATCTCAATGCATACTACCAAGTTCCTTTCAGATAATTACTGTAGGAAGAAGGGAAATAGAATAGTTTTTCCATAGCGTAACAATTATATAAACTAATGTTTCTCAATCTTTTTCCAAGCATGACCCAAATTTCCACATATTTTCTTCCTGTCTTCTACCCTATCTTACTAACTGTCCCCCTAGTCTTATGTAATGGTTCCTCTATTGCCTAAATGAAATATCCTGAGGGCCCACAGGTAGTCATATGACCCCCAATTAGAAATGCTATTCTACACTAAAAACATATAAGGAATAAAGAGAAAATTCCCACCTCCCACTGCAGTAATCAATTCCTGATCTCCTGCATGCTCTCTGGGTCATTAGACACAGGGTGACATTACATAATATATACGTTTTATAATATATATTATGCATTATATTTATAACATTAAATCAGCATACTAAATAGGAATCACAAATCTTTCACAAAGAATATTACTTATATTGAGGTCAGGCCAGTCTCCCAAGAGAGGCAAATAAAGTCGGATAGCACGTTAGAGTTCTGAATTACAGACTACATTGTAATGCATATTTATGCATATGTATGCACTTATATACATATAATTTATACTTCTAAAATATCATTGTGAAGCATTCAGTTAATCATATCATTTATTTCATATGAAATCACTCTTTACTAGTCCCCAACTCAAACTGAGAAGCTCTGTACCTTTAAGCATTGGAACAATCTTCCTTTTCTCTGTTCAGCATTCTACACCACAAGTTTATATATCCTTGTCATTTTGAAAATGTCAGTTTGTCAACCCTGGCAACTTCACCCAGCAATTCAATGATATCTGTCATTTCATTATTTCTCCTCTTAGAAATATTTTACCATTATTGAATGTTAATGCTGGAAAATATGACTTGAGCCAAATAGAACCAGAAGAGCAAAGTCTCACCATTGACACTGTCATCATACACCCACGTTTCTCTGCCAGGAAACCAATAGACTATGATATTGCTCTTTTGAAGATGACTGGAGCTTTTCAGTTTGGTAAACATTTGAAGCTTATTCTGAATTTTCCTTCCCAAATTCCCTATAACTTCTGTTCCACATCACAATCCTACAGCATATATAGAATATGCCCAATAGTTCTGAGTTATGAATTTAGAGGAGATCAGGGTAGATGGTTCTTTAACTAAATTCTTTTTTGCTTGTGTCCTTAGATATAGGATTTTATGGGATCATAAAATGGTCTTTCTTTGTCTAATAAGAACCCCCTAGATATACCAGGCAGAGATGTCACAACCCCTATAAAAACTTGGGGGAAACCTCTTAGCTTCCAACTGGTGAGTGATTTCTGATATCCTCTCTTCCATGGAAGATACGAGCTTTGCTCTTTTCTTCAGGCAAGTTTGTGGGTCCCATATGTCTTCCGAAGCGAGGAGAACGATTTAGGGCTGGATTCACTTGCACAACTGCAGGCTGGGGCCGTTTGACGGAAAGTAAGCACTTCTATGACACTACTTTTGTTAGATGTCAGAACTTTTCATGTTACTATAATGATAAAAAAATAAAATTTATTAATTCATTTTAATAAACAACTATGAAAACATTGTTTTCCCTTTTGGGTCACACCCAGTGATGCTCAGGGGTCACTCCTCGCTCTGCACTCAGAAACTGCTCCTGGCGGTGCTCGAGGGACTATATGAGATGCCAGAGATTGAACCCGGGTTGGCTGCATGCAAGGCAAATGCCCTACCCACTGTGCTATCGCTCCAGCCCCAAACATTTCTTAAATACTATATTTTAATTAGTAATCAACATTTCCAAAAGATGTGAACAAACCTTAAAAAACAACTCCAAGGATGCCTCAGTCCCAAAGTCACCATCCAGTTAAAATTTTAACCCCAAGTCTATTACCTTATTTAAAATTTTAGACTTGTGGCCACATAACATCTCATACTCTATACCACTGATGTACCAGGAGCAGCACTGGATAGGATGTAAGGTAGAAGACAGCCAATCTCAATTAAAAAATTACTAGCGCACAAAGGCTCAACCTGTACCAACATGTTAGTAATCTCTTACACAGGTAATCTTACACAATGGCTCCAGGGTGAGATACAACAATCTTCACACATTTTCTTCTAAGGAAATCTTTTCTGATCATTTTGGAGATCTATTCATAATAAGCAATACATAATAAATTATTTAGGGCATGCATATGGGGCAGGTTTGGGATGGTGATTGAGAAAATTCAAAATAATGGTGATGGATAAGGTGCAATGGTGGTGGAATTGGTGTTGGAATAGTCAGTGCAATAAACTATTATGAACAGCCTTATGAAAATAAAATAATTTTTTAAATGTATCTCCAACTCAGGTCTTAAGAGTGCTTTGCTGGGGTTCCCATTTCTGTTTTCTAGACGGCAGTGTCTCCCAAGTTTTGCAGTCAGTAGAGCTGCCCATTTTGACCCAGGAGGAGTGTGTGAAAGCTCTATTAAGCCTAAGCAAACCCATCAGAGGACAAACCTTTCTCTGCACAGGCTTTCCAGACGGAGGGAAAGATGCATGTCAGGTAGGTAGGAGCAGTTAAATTTATAGGCCTGAGGGTAAGACTCTCCTCAGCCTTGTCGTCAGATGAGGGGATAAAAGAAAGCTGTAGAGAACACTGAAATAAAGATAAAGGCAGGTAAGATTGAATCAAAATCAAGGGAAACTCCTAGGAATATACCCTAGTGGCCCAAAAACATATGGCAAAGAAGCCATCTGTACTCCTATGTTTATTGCAGCACTATTCACAATAGCCAGAATCTGGAAACAACCCAAGTTCCTGAGAACAGATTACTGGATAAAGAAACTATGGTACTTGGTGGGGGCTGGAGCAATAGTAGAGAGGGTAGGGCTTTACCTTGCACATGGCCGACCAGGGCTTGATTACCCCTGTGCATTGTCAGGTGTGACCCAAAAAGCAAAATAAATAAATAAAATAAACTATGGTACTTGGGACTGAAGAAATAGTACAGTGGGTAGCATGTCTGCCTTGAATGCAGAAAGGTTCAACCACTGTCATCCCATCTGATCTCCTGAGTACTGCTAGGAGTTATTCCTGGGTGCAGAGCCAGGAGTAACCCCTGAGCATCACCAGGTATGCTGATAAATAAAGAAGAAACTGTGGTACATCTACACAATAGAACATTATGCAGCTGTTAAGAAAAAATGAAGTGATGAAATTTGCTTATATATGAATGAACACAGAGTATCATGCTGAGTAAAATGATTCAGAGAGGGACATAGAATGATTCATATTTGTGTGTATATATATGTATATATGTATATATATGTATATATATATTTGTGTGTGTATATATATGTATATATGTATATATGTGTATATATATATAAAGAGAGAGAGTATGTGACTAATACCCAATGACAGTAGAAACAAGGAGGATTAGCCCATGGTAGGAAGCTTGCCACAAAGGGGAAAAGGGGGAGGAGGATTGCAGTTAGGACAGAGAAGGGGCCACAATGACAATTTTAGTTGAAAATGATCACTCAGGACAAAATTAAAAGTTGGTAAAGAGATATGCATGATACCCTTCCAGTAGCAGTGCCACAGAGAGAGAGAGAGAGAGAGAGAGAGAGAGAGAGACAGAGAGAGAGGAGAGAGAGAGAGGAGAGAGAGAGAGAGAGAGAGAAATAGAGAGAGAGAAAGTGCTTGCCATAGAGGCTGTGGGGGTAGGGTGGAGGTCAGTATGAGGGAAACTCGAGACATTGGTGGCAGGAAATGTGCACTGTTGAAGGGATGAGTATTGGAACATTGTGTGACTGAAACTCAATCATGAACAACTAATAACTGCATCTCACCGTGATTCAATTAATTTTTTAAATAATAAATAAGGGAAGAATTTCAGATAAACTGTTTTAACCAAGGAAGAATGAATGCCACGGAAGTCTATTTTTCTCAAATACCAAATTGCAGTAAGCTAACAATGCTCCGTCTTTCCTATTTAAGCATCAACAGTTTGTTATAAATAGGACTTTCCTTTCCTTTCACTCCTCCTGCTAAGGCTTAAGTTCAGTTATACTATAGGACAAGTCTTTCCTGAGTGTGTGAGATGAAACTGAAAAAGCATTGACAGAAATCTAGCATGGATGGGAAAGTGAAACTCAAACTGTAATATTTTAGCGTGTTTTTTTTTTTGGTTATTTGGTTTGTTGGGGTTTTTTTCCCCCCTTTGTTTTTGGGTCACATCCAGCTGGGTGGTCAGGGTTCACTCACTGCTCTGAGCTCAGGGATCACTCCTGGCAGGATTGGGGGTGGAGGTGTGTATATGGGGTGCCAGATCACACACATGCAAAGTACACATTCTACCCACTGTACTGTCTCTTTGGCCCTATTTCAGTGTTTTGTATAAATTGTTCCCACAAAGCTGAATTCAAACTACTGGAAGTAAAGAAAGGGCATTTATCCTCATTTAGTATCTTTCCTGGGTGAGCACCTTGGGGCAGTGATGCTGACATTGAGGGTAACAGAATCTTCTTTCCCACCCATCCATAGGGAGATTCAGGAGGTTCCCTCATGTGCCGGAATAAGAAAGGGGCTTGGACTCTGGCTGGCGTGACTTCCTGGGGTTTGGGCTGTGCCCGAGGCTGGAGAAACAATAGGCAAAAAGATCATCAAGGAACTCCTGGAATCTTCACAGATCTTAGTAAAGTGCTTCCCTGGATCCACAAACACATCCAAGTGGGTAATAAAGCTAGCAAGCAAGTTTCGGAAGCTGGCATAACAAAATATAAAAAATATAAAAAAACAAAACATATGCTTTCTGTTAGCCAGAAAGCTTAATAAAAGGATCTTGGTCGGTCAAGGCCACTGAGCACATAGACTTAGCTCTCTAAATTCTTAGTGTGTAACATAAAAGAAGAAGAGAATCTACTAAATCCAAAATGAAATAAAATAAGGTGCATGGTACAGCATGTGAATAGTCAATGAAATGGAAAAAATCTAGCTGAGAATATGCCACAATTTGTCTAAAATTGAAACCATCTCAGCCAGTAATATGTTTTCAGCATATCTCCATTGTACTAGTAAGATTCAGAAATCCATTGATAGATCAGCAATCTATCAGTTGCCTGGGAGGCAATTTCTGGAGACAATGAGCTGAGAAATAAGGCAGTTGGGATAGAAAAGGGATCATTAAGCCAATGATGGTTGGAGGAATTGCTAGGGATGGAAGATGTGTGCTGAAAGTAGACAAAGAGCCAAACATGATGGCCTCTCAGTATCTGTATTGAAAACCATGATGCTCAAAAGGAGAGAGAGAGAGAGAGAGAGAGAGAGAGAGAGAGAGAGAAAGAAAGAGGAAAATTATCTGCCATAGAGGCAGGGGAAAGGGTAGGATGGGGGGAAGGAAATGGGGACATTGGTGGTAGAAAATGTACACTGGTGGAGGGTTGAGTATTTGATCATTCTGTGACTGAAACTCAAACATGAAAGTTTTGTAGCTGTATCTCACGGTGATTTAATTTTAAAAAATGTCTGGAGACATTTTTGTTATCAGAACTTAGGAAGAGCTGAAGTGGTGCCATAGGAACATAATAAATAGGAGCTATGGTCACTGCTAAATATCCTATGATGCAGAATACAGCCACCCACAATAAAAGTGATCCAGCCTGAAGCATTAGTAATTCTGTGGTTGAGGAGTGATATAGATCTAAATATGTGAAGTGTGAAAAGTCAGTCTATGTATGTCTTCCAACACCTGAAAGTGAGTGAATTGAAACCTTTTTCGTGTCTCCAAATTCAATTTACTTGTTTCCCTTAACCACTGGCTTCCAGTTCCATGCTATGTTATTCTTTTCAAAAGGGATTAATTAAAATTAAATCAGAAGAAACTTGATTTTATTTTCTTTATTTAAAATAAACCATTCTATTGGAGAAAATATCTATTACTTTCTCTTTTAAACTGTTTTCAAAAAACTGTTTCATTGAATTTTATTATATTTTTATTTTGGGGTACAAACCTGGCTGTGCTCAGGGTTTACTCCTGGCTTTGTGCTCAGGAATCACTCCTAACAATAAATTATGGACCATATAAGGTGCCAAAGATTGAACCCAGGTCAACCATGTGCAAAGCAAGTACCCTGCTCTCTGCATTATTTCTCCAGCCCCCAAGAACTTGATTTTATTTTCAAACATATGTTACAGTAGCCAACATCTGAGCCCTCAGTTCAAGTTTTAGCTCTAGGTGAATTATTTCTATATTTGGCCTCCCTTCTGTTAAATGAGATAGGTAAAACCATCACGGTCACGGTCCTCCCGTTGTTCAACGATTTGCTCGAGCAGACCCAGTAACGTCTCCATCGTGAGACTTCTTGTTACTGTGTTTGGCATATCGGATACATCACAGGGAGCTTGCCAGGCTCTGCCGTGCGGGCAAGATGCTCTCGGTAGCTTGCCGGGCTCTCCAAGAGGGGCAGAGGAATCGAACTCCGGTCGGCCATGTTGGCTGTGTGCAAGGCAAATGCCTTACCGCTGTGCTATCACTCCAGCCCAGGTAAAACCATATGACTTCCTTTTACTGTATGAGTGACTTTAGAATAATTATGGCCTGTTTCTTAATTAATATACATTTTTGGTCTTATTTGGGGATCTGTGATCAGGGTTTACCCTGACTCCATACTCAGGGATCACTCCTGCTAGGGACTGGGGGAACATACAGATGCCTGGGATTAAACTCAGGTCAACTGTGTGCAAGTTTAAGTGTCTTACTATATCTCCGGTCCCCTTAATTAGTATACTTAATTAAAAAAAAAAACATCTGGGGCCTGATGTGGCCACAACAGTATCTGCCTCGCATAAAGAAAACCAGGGATCAATTCCTGATACCACACACACACACACACACACACAAACACACACACACTGAATAAATAAAACCTTTAAGCTCACACACACACCCGGAATAAGTAAGTGTTTTAAAACACTTGTTTCTTGTTTCTTATTTCTATTTCTTGTTTCTTATTTCTTATTTATATTTATATTTCTTATTTCTATTTCTATTTCTTGTTTCATTAATTTATCTCTTCTATAATGAAGACATAAATTAAATTTTTGTTAGTTATATATGGACCCAAAACTTTTGCACGTTTTAACCAGGGAGATGCTAAATTTTTAGAATCTTATTCAAAATACTTATTCAAAATACTGGAGCGATAGCACAGCGGTAGGGCATTTGCCTTGCACGCAGCCAACATGGCCGACCCGAGTTCGATTCCTCCGCCCCTCTTGGAGAGCCCGGCAAGCTACCGAGAGTATCTTGCCCGCACAGCAGAGCCTGGCAAGCTACCCATGACGTATTCGATATGCCAGACACAGTAACAACAAAGTCTCCAATGGAGACGTTACTGGGCCCGCTCGAGCAAATCGACGAACAACAGGAGGGCCTTTACCTTTACCTTTTATTCAAAATACTACACACTTAGAATTGCATATATCTCTTTACCAGAGAAGCAGAGAAAGAACTCCAGAGGTAGGTATTCCTTACAGCCTGCTCCACTGGGAGCATAAATTAATAGCTAGCATTTCTGAATATCAATTCCCTTTAGAATCAAAAGTCTTCCACTTCAAAAGTTCTCCTTTCTCACTAATAAAAGCACCACTTGGAGCATTCACAGCCATTACCTAGCAGACAGGAAAACTCTTTTTCTAAGTGGGTACCCACAGATTTCTTCTCATTTTACTCCATGTCAATCCAGAGTTTGAATCATTTCAACATCTGCCAAAGTCTAACTTTAGATGAGAGGTTTGGGCGAAGAGTGTGAGGATGTGCAAGTGAAATAAATTAGCTACTCATCTGACCTTGGTAGTGCCCCTCCTGAAGAAGGAGGACTCACCTGGAATGCTTCACTATTGGACTGAAATGAATTCCCTCTAATTCAGGGCAAATTCCTTGCTATATCTAGATTTCAGTCTCCTTATCTGGTCCAAACTCTTTATGGATCTCTCTAAGGCATCAAGCTCTCTAAGACATATGTAGCTCAAATCTTCAATTATTCTTGAGTCTGTGAAATGATTTACTAATATCAATATAGGAAAATACTACCCTGACTGCTCACAGGAGTGAGCAACTCCTCCTAGTTTAAAAAAAATGGTGGGGGAGGCAGAGCAGAAAAAAATGGTAAAGGAAGTTTGGATCACAGATGGATTTTAGAATGAACTTAATGGAGGAGAAAGATTTTATGAGATAAAAGTTGACCAATGAATCTTTAATATCAAGAGGTACATATTAAAGAATGGAGATGGGATATTTTACAGTATGCTAGAGTCAAGATAGCTTAAGTGTAGAATATGTGAATGAGATTTTATGAGGGGAAACATTAGAAAGAAAAATTCAAACAAAACTATAAAAAAAGTTTAACTTTATTGAGCAATAAGAAGTTGATTAGATGAAATTACTAGAGCAAATGCTAGTAGCAAAAGGAAAGCACATAGGAATAGATTGGAGGAAAGGTAATTTCAGGTGGCTTTATGAGATCAATTTGAGAGATGAGAAGGCTTTCACAAAGACAACGAATGAAAAGGAAAAAATAGAAACAAGAATCAGGGCTAATCCATCAACAAGATGATGAATAACGCAGGAGGAAGAGCAGGTAAGGATGGTACCAGAGCTTTGATCATATGTGAGTAAGAGCACGTGGAAGGAACAAATCAGGTGGAACGAGTTGCAGATCAAGAGAAATACCAATGTAGCATTGAAGTTTCAGAGAAGATAGCTAGAAGATAGCTAAGAGACAGTTTAAAAAATCAGGTCTCAGGCTTAGAAATGTAGGTGAAATCCTTGAAACAGAGGTATGACCGATACTAATCACCTCATTCAGAGAGAAATTAAAACTAAAGGTATAACCCAGAGAATATCTGTATGTATAGATCTATGGGATTAGAGAAAGTTGAGTGAAGAAAAAGAAACAGAATTTCAAGATTAAGCACTATCTAAAATTAATAACAAAAAAAGGCATCAAGGCACTGACAATACATCTGTGGCATAAAGTGCTTACTCCATAAGTGGTACTACATGGAAAGTATCATGCTAAACGAAATGAGTCAGAAAGAGAGGGACAGACATAGAAAGATTGCATTCATGTGGGAAACATAATGTAACAGAATAGGAGACTAACGCCCAAGAATAGCAGATTACCAGGTTTTAAGTACCAAGAGGTTTACTCCATGGCTTGGAGGCCAGCCACACACGATGGGGGAAAAGGCAGCTCAGATAGAGAAGGAAGGACCAAATAAAGGATGTTGGGAGGATCCTTCCAGGATGGGAGTTGCGTGCTGAGAGTAGACTCTAGACCGAACATGATCGCCACTCAATGCCTCTTTTGCAAACCACAGCACCCAAAAGGAGAGAGAGAACAAGGGGGAATGCCCTGCCATAGAAGCAGTGTGGGATGGGTGGGATGGGGGGGATGGGAGTGAGAGGGATACTGGGATCAGTGGTGGTGGAAAATGGGCACTGGTGGAGGGATGCGTATTCGATCATTGTATAACTGAAACCCAAGCACAAAAATTTGTAAGTCTACAACTGTACCTCATGGTGTTTCACTAATAAAAATCTAAAAAAAAAAAAAAAAAGACTGAGTTCAAACTCTGGTGCCACCCATTCACCAATGCAATCCTGACTCCTGACAGCCTCAAATCTCTACATATATTGTTAAACCAAGTAGTGAGTAGCCCCTTTGGCACTCCACTCTTCTATTTCCACTTCAAGTCTGATTATCGTAGTTACTGTCTAGAAATAATACCCTTTCAAGATATCTGCTGCAGACAGTGTGTCTGGACCCTATTGGTACCAGAGGGAATGCATATATGTATTACTCATTTTTTCCGACTTGGATGCAGAGTCTTGTCATCACAATTACCTATTAGTAGATACTTCAGAAGACAGACTTACTGGTGAGTGGATTTTCATGTTGTTAAGTACACTTCTCTGTATACTAGTGTGAAGAGGGCTTACATTGTCTGGTTGCATTATTTCTGACACAAAGATATCAGAAAACATCACACTACCTGTATCTACTTTGGAGACTCAGAGTTAACAGTGGGAGGGAGTTATGTGAAGCTGAATCTGAGAGACACTATGAAACCACAGTGCATTTCATTTGCTGCATCTGTATCCTTCTGAAACAGTGTTCCTAGATTTATTTGCCAGACCAACAATTCACTAAGGACACTATTTAGATTATCTCAGGGCCTCCTGAGCAGAATGTTAGGCACATGCACACAGGAACATCTTTCCTGCTTCCTTCAAGCTCAGAAGAAAAATACCAATCAAGCAGGCCAGAGAGAAATGAAAAGGATTAAGGTGAATGAGTTTTATGTAGTCATCCTTTTGATGCAACTTTCTGTCTCCACATATGGTCCCCAGAGAAGCACCAGAAATGATTTCTGAGCACAGAGCCAGGAGTAAGCCATGAGCACAAAAACCAAATAAGAAAATTACCAGTTGATAACCATAAGTAGGAAACAAAGGTTACTTCTATCAGAAACAGACATGAAGGAATATTCCTGTTCCCCTTCCTCTGGGCTTAAAGGGCCAGGTCTCAGAAACACTTTCTGTTGTCACTAACTGGAAAGGTTATTAATGCCACTTGGTGGGAGGCCAGGAATACTGCAGAACATTCCATAAGGCACAAGACAGCCTGAACACAAAGAGTATTACAATTCAACATGTCAGTAATAACATGATTGGTAAATCCCAAGTTGAACAATTCAAGTTCAGTTCTCCACAAATCTTGAAGAACTGCTGCTTCCTAGATCCTGAAAATCAATACTCCTTCTTGTGTTGCAGGGAAATTGTGTGGAGTAGGCATTGCTTCATCAGTTCTTTTTGGCTCCACCTCTATTGGGATCTTTGATACCTCAGGTTATGCCATTGGGTTTAATCTCACCTACAAAACTTTTAAACCAAACTATCTTTCTGGTAAAAAAATGATTTACAGTTTTCACTCACTAAGTGTATCTTTTTTAGATGTTAAGACTGCACAGAACCTAGGTGAGAGGCAAGATGATCCCTCCTACAGCCTTCTAGACTCAGAATGAGGAGCACATAGAAAGCTGGTGAAATATGGGCACCAGATTCTTCGAAATCCTTGCTAATTAATTGCACCTTAAAATGAGTGAAGCGGATATGAAGAGTTCTTGAAAATCAGTACTCAGATTCCTTCCTCCATGCTCTGGCAACATCTGTGAAAGACAGTAGAAAGATTAAAGAGGCACTTTGGTGGATGATGTCAATGTTTGGATGTTTTCCCTTGTGTTTTAGATTTGGGCTGCAGGTCTTTAACCATCCTTTTAAATACAGCCTCATATAGAGTCCTAACTATCCTTAGTGATAAGAGAAACTGTAGTTGTTTTTTTTCCAAGCCCTTAAACATTACCTGATTAAGGTACTGACCTTGTTGCCCTTGCTTTGTTATGTTATAGCCATAGAATATCTACCATAAGCACCATGAGAGCACAGGGGATTTTTTTTTTTTTTTCTGTGTCCTTGTTAATCAGTGCCTGGTGCCCAAGGCTTTTTTTTTTTTTTTCACAAACTACCCATACTTACCACTAGATGGCAACTATGTACTTCACTTTTTGTAGTTTGTTCCATCATAGCAGTGCATAGATCCTCCAAGCCAGCATTTCTTTCTGATTTATTAAACTGATCACACAGTGCTGCATATGACATGGATAACAAAATCAATGACAATTAGGCCTAAGTCATAAAACCTACAAAGCAGATGGGAATAGAACGAGCATAGAGAAATCAGTGTAGGACAGGTTCATTAACTGACTTATATTAATATGTAGATTGGATTTGTTCTAGAAGAAGAGGCTGAGGTCACAGTGGGAAGGGCTTCTACAGTGGGAAGGAAAAATATTAGTTGAAAATCTAAATATTGCAGATATAAAAGTGATCTCAAGACATCAATTCAACAAAAAGTCACTGAGAATTGTGTGACAGTAAAGTGACACCCATTCTGGACATCATCATCTTATAGGCCCCACCCAGAAGAGTCATTTGAAAATTAGTATTGCAACTCATAACAACGTGCACATCATTTGGCTTGAAAAGAAAATGGTTTATTTTCAGAAAGTATCCCAGTAAGGCTGTAAGAAATATTTGATTGAATCTCATATCTGACACATCTTCTTCTCCCTGTGGAACTTTTACTAGAAATGGAAGTGCCCAGTGAAAGGTAGGTACCTTCAATTTTGCCTTCCCTTTTTATCTTTCATTGAATCCCTTATTCTTCTGCTAATTTCTCGAGTGCTACTGAACCGTCACCAGCTGTGTGTTTAATATCCAAACTCCTACTACCCCATCAGTCCATCATACAATTGGGTGATGTTATCAAACTGTCTAAATTAGCTCGATATTGCTTCCCTATTCCTTTTTCTATTGTTCCCTCTGTCTTCCACTCCCTTTGTCTGCAAAAAGTAAGTAACTCAAACAGAAAATAAGGTAAGAAAAAATTAACATACAAACAATTTTTATTGGAAGGGGACACACCCACAATTCTCAGGGCTTATTTCTAGTTCTGTGTTCAGGAAGCACTCCTTGTGGTGTTCAGGGGAAACATATGGGGTACTGGGGATTGAACACTGGTTAGCGAATGTGATGCAAATGCCATGCCCACTGTGCTATCTATCTGAATCCAAAACAATTCATATTTTTAAGAAAACAAAACCTTGGAATCTTAATAACTGCTGAGGTTAGAAATAAATGGAATAGTATACATCTGTTAAGAATTATGGTTTTAGAAACTATGAAAGTGAAGTTCAGGTAGATCCTAAGTAGTCATCTTTATTTTCTAGGATTTGGTACATTATAATTTGAATAATCTACTCTAAAATTTCATTGAGGTTTATAATTAATTACATAATTATAATAAAATCAACTCTTCCTAACCCATATCAGAATTTCTTCTCTTATGTGTGTCCAGGGGGCTGGAGCAATAGCACAGCGGGTAGGTTGTTTGCCTTGCAAGTGGCCAACATGGCCAACCTGAGTTCAATTCCTCCACCCCTCTCGGAAAGCCCGGTAAACTACCGAGAGTATCTCGCCCGCACAACAAAGCCTAGCAAGCTACCTGTGACGTATTCGATATGCCAAACACAGTAACAATTGTCACAATGGAAATGTTACTGGGCCCGCTCGAGCAAATCGATAAGCAATGGGAGGACAGTGACAATGACAGTGACGTGTGTCCAGGAGTTCAGAAGTGTATGCCAATGACTCTTCAGCATCTATAAAAACTTTGCAGATTCTGTCAATTATTCTGATGACATTTTGTTTGAATTTAACATTTATATTCTCAGAACTGAGGTAATGCAGAACTTTGTGATCTTGAACACTGGACTGAATGGGACTGGGAGCAGAGATCCTCTGTCTGCTTCCCCCAGTCTCCAGTGACCCAGGTGTCACGCCCATAAACCACACCCTGCGGGCACCAGATAATCTCCTCATCAACCACCCTCCAGAACTCACGGCTGCTCCTCACAGATGGGAGTATAAAATGAGGCCCCCGTAGCCATGCCACCAGACTTCACCTGGCTGTTTTCACTTGGGGCGCCCCAGGAGGGGAGGTAGGAACCCTCCCTGCCCCAGGGGACCCAGCCCTGGCAGCGGACCTCCACTACCCACCACTGCTATGCTCCAGGCCGCTTTCCGGACACATCATAAGACACTTCCTACCCATTTTCCATAATTACCACACCATGTTTGATGGATTTCATACAGTAGGCAACAAATCACAGAGAGAAATATATATATATATATATATATATATATATATATATATGCATTCTGGAGAGCCCCGCATGCTACCAAGAGTATCCCACCCGCACTGGCAGATCCTGGCAAGCTTCCTGTGGCGTATTTGATATGTCAAAACCAGTAACTATAACAGGTCTTATTTCCCTGACCCTGAAAAATCCTCCAATCATTGGGAAAGATGAGTAATGAGAGGCTGCTAAAATCTCAGGGCTGGGATGAATAGAGACATCACTGGTGCCTGCTTGAGTAAATCAAAGAACAATGGGATGACAGTGATACAGTGATTCTCATATTATATATCATAGCAGAATTTTTCAGTGAGTCATTGAGATTTAATAGCACTAAAACAAGGAAGATGGTACTGATACCAACTATATTCTCCCAAATAGAAGACACAAAATTAAAAAAGGCATAACCTTCTTTAGTTTTAATTCAGGAGAACTGGAAATTTGAAAAGAAGCATAGTGAACCAGATGTACAATTGTAAGACGCCAAGAGAAACAATTATATGTCCATAGATCCCTTGTATAACCCAAAACATAGTTTCTAGTGGGAAAAAGAAAATCTCCACTGAGAGGTTCTGCTGGTCTTTTAGAGGTAATAGGGCTATCAAGTACTTGCGCAATTTCCCACCCTTATATCTAGCCTGTATTTGGTAGCTTGGTTGCTTCAGAAGGTTTGGGAATCTGTTCTATGGCATGTTTTTTAAGCAATAAGCCCATTCAAAGCCACACTAATTTTCTCATTGAAGTTCATAATTCATAGTAAGGAGAGCATCCCAAATTTCTCTGCTTAGTCAAAATCAGGTAATTTGGTGTAAATCTATATGTAATGTCAGATTTTCTCAGCTTTCCTTTTAGAATCCGGAAATAGAGAAAGTAGAGACTGCACTGCCAACGTTGTGAGAGTGTACAAAGATGTAGAAAAAAAAGAGGAAATCCTTTTCTGCTTCTCTAGAATCTCTGCTTCCTGTGCTTGCATTTGAATCCAGTCCCTTTAGGGAATAATAAGAATCTAGCTCAATTGTGTACAGTTTCCAAAATCACTGTTTCTCAGCCAGGGGCCATATGGGACCCAAGGACTTCTAGGATAGTCTAAGACGCCACAGGTAAAATTCGTGTAAATGAAGGGCCACAGATCAAGAGGGGAGCCATCCAATAGGATAGGGGGCCACAGGAAAGAAGCTAGGTTGAAAGGACCATGGTTGGAAAATATTACAACCTTTTACCACCTCTATCCCTTCAATGCTCTCTGCTACTACAACAAAAGCATGAAAAATAAGATGGAAAAATCAAAAAAATTATTTAAACAGAAAAGGATAAAAACTTACACTAAACTAGCAATAAAATAGGCATGTGTCATTGAAATAAGCACTATGGTTAGAATCGGTTCCCTTAGCAGCACGGTCCAGTGTGCTGGAGAATCAACAGAATAGTGTTTGGAAGATAAAACAGAATAGACATGTTAATGGGGTTGGATGCATATTTTAATGAAGCGAACTGCCTTTTTATTTTTTTTTATCATGAAATCCACCAGAAAAGTCTATTTCTCAAGAATTATCTAAAAGATAATTTTTGCTCTTCTATCAAAAGCCACATACATTTGCCAGGACCCTGGCCTTGATTTGCCTTTGTCATACTTGATCCAGTTTGGATGTAGGACTTTCATGTCCTTAACCCTGCACTGAGCAATTCTGGTGTAAAGTCCATCTGCTTCCAGTCTGATGAAAGTATCACCTCCAGAGGCTTTCAGGCTACAATTTCCTTCATTCTTGAGACAGGTAAGAAGATAGATCAACTCCTGAGTACAATTCTAATTCTCACCCTGTGACAGTGATTTTAAAGGTCACACAGACAAAGTCTCATTTGCAGTAATTCTATTCTAGAAAATCACCAAAAACATGGAGCTAGTGAATAATGAACCTTTGCTTGTAGAGAAAGTACAAATTTCAGCTTCTATGAGCCTCTGGTTTTATGTGTTTCTGTTTCAAGTCACTTCATTGCACATATAATCTTGTTTCACTAACATTAACGTCAAGCAAGGTTGCTTCCACTGTGTTGCATGCCTGAACAAAATTGGTGCTTTATACATATTTTCTCCATGATGCATCAGAGACACATGGCACTAGAAACACTACTAGATGGTACTTTAGCACTATGGTTAAGGTCATTTTTCCATAGCCAGATTACCAACAAAAGAATACAAAAGTGAAAAAAGAAAAATCATGATACCAAGTAGACTCCAAACATGCAAACAAAATGTCTCTGCTAAGTACCTGTATGTCCCTTCACTTGACTTTGTCACTGCTGAGTCATACCCAGGAATGAACATGAAAACACTATGAGTATTGGGTTTGAGTTACAAATAAGTCAAATAGTAAATAGTTGAATTTTCAAGTACAGATTGTAAAAAGAATCAGAATTGCCTTCGGGTTGATCTAGCTTTACTATCTACCATCAAAGACTTGTTTCCTTCACCTTTACAGAAACTAATATTTGCCTGGCATGAATGTGGTGAAGATTTAATCAAGTAAGAAATACTTAGCTCTCAAAGATGCCACGCCACTGTCTGAGCAAGTGAAAACAGAGATAGATAAATGGGACTATCTTAAACTAAGAAGCTTCTGCACCTCCAAAGAAATAGTGACCAAAATACAAAGACAGCCTACAGAATGGGAAAGGATATTCGCCGAATACACATCTGACAAGGGGTTGATATCCAGGATATACAAAATACTGGTTAAACTCCACAAGAAGAAAACATCCAACCCCATCAAAAAATGGGGCAATGAAATGAACAGAAACTTTCTCAAAGAAGAAATCCGAATGGCAAAAAAGCACATGAGAAAATGCTCTACATCATTAATCATCAGGGAGATGCAGATCAAAACCACAATGAGATACCATCTCACACCTCAGAGACTGGCCCACATTCAAAAGAACAAAAGCAACCGATGCTGGCGTGGATGTGGCGAGAAAGGGACACTCCTTCACTGTTGGTGGGAATGTCGACTGGTTCAGCCCTTCTGGAAAACAGTATGGATGATTCTCAAAAAATTAGAAATTGAGCTCCCATTTGACCCAGCAATACCACTCCTGGGAATATATCCCAGAGAGGCAAAAATGTATAGTCGAAGTGACATCTGCACTTGTTTGTTCATTGCAGCACTCTTTACAATAGCCAGAAACTGGAAGAAACCTGAATGCCCAAGAACAGATGACTGGTTAAAGAAACTTTGGTACATCTACACAATGGAGTACTATGTAGCTGTTAGAAAAGATGAAGTCATGAAATTTACATACAAGTGGTACAACATGGAAAGTATCATGCTAAGCGAAATGAGTCAGAAAGAGAGGGATAGACATAGAAAGATTGCATTCATCTGGGGGACATAAAGTAACAAAATATGAGATTAATACCCAAGAATAGCTGAGATCAGCACCAGGAGGATTACTCCATGGCTTAGTGGCCAGTCGGGCATTCTAGAGGAAAGGGCAGCTCAGATAGAGAAGGGAGCACCAAATAAAGTGTGTTTGGAGGATCCTCCCAGGAGGGGAGATGCATGTAGAAAGTAGACTATGGACTGAACATGTTTGCCACTCAATGCCTCTATTGCAGACCACAACACCCAAAAGGAGAGAGAGAACACAGGGGATTGCCCTGCCACAGAGGCAGGGGGGGATGGGGGGGGTGGGGGTGGGGAGGATATTATCCATGGTGGTGGAAAATGGGCACTGGTGGAGGGATGGGTATCTGATCATTGTATAATCAAGCCCAAGCACAAAAAATTGTAAATCTACAACTGTACCTCATGGTGTTTCACTAATAAAAAAATTAAAAAAAAAAAAAGAAATACTTAGCTCTAAGCAAGTATGGCATCTACCAGAAGCTCAAAAATGTGAAATATCTTAACCACCCCCACCCCCAAACACTTGGCCTACAGTTTCCTTCCTACTTCTCATATCGCCTGTTTGAGAGTGAGCCCTGTTCAAATATCACACAGCCTGTTATCTGCTTCTCAAGGTGTTCATTCCTGTTAGACAGTAAGTTGCTACAGGTGGCAAAGTCTGTTTATTGCTACAATAGCCACTTTCTGGAAAAAATATCATTGAGCTCCTCTGAGATACCACAGAGTTCTATCAATAACCATTTTAGGATAAATCCTAAATTCTGGCCTTATTTGCATGATCTCAGCAATTGCATTATGCTTACATATATAAATATATATATATGAGGCAATGTTTCTGGGAATATAAGTTGTACTATATGAATAACCAATGCTTCAGATAAATTGTTTCATGGAATACAACCAATATCTTGATACAACAAACTGTTATGCCAAGGTTTAACCAAAGAAACCTTGAAAGTTATAGGGACCTCCAGCCCATACTGAATATTGATTTTTGAAGGAAATAGGCTTTTTAGAGTTCATCAAGTTATCAAGTTCAAGTTCCTGCTAGACAGTAACTTGCTACAGATGCAAGTTCATCAAGTTCATCAAGTTCATCAAATTAATGTGAAGTCATAATACAATATAACTGATGTCCTTATAAGAGGGGGAATCAGGTGAAGAGAAAGATATGCACTTGGGGAGAGAACATCATATGACTGTGAAAAGGGAGAGAACAATTCATATCATTTATGAGTAGCACTGTAGCACTGTCCTCCCATTGTTCATCAGTTTGCTCCAGCGGGCACCAGTAACGTCTCCATTGCGAGACTTGTTACTGTTTTTGGCATATTAAATATGCCACGGGGAGCTTGCCAGGCTCTGCCATGCGAGCGGGATACTCTCGATAGCTTGCCGGGCTGTCCGAGAGGGACAGAGGAATTGAACCAGGTCGGCCGCATGCAAGGCAAATGCCCTACCCACTGTGCTACCACTCCAGCGCATATGAGTATGGAACAACAAAGATTGCCAGCCGACCCTAGGAGAAAGGGGAGAGAGATAGAACAGATTCTCCATCAGCACCACCAGAGGGAGTCAATACTGCCAACTTGATCTCAGATTTCTGGCTCCCAGAACTATAGATTTCTGTTCTTCTATGTTCCCCCATTTGTGTTATTTTGTGACAGTGAACCTAGCAAAACAGTAGGTCTAGCAAATAAATACAGGCTTACAAGATGTGGAGACAGAGTCTGTAGGACAGTCAGTCAGAAAGAGAAGATCACAGGACACTGGAATCCCACTAACATGGACTGAAGCAATTCTCCACAGACAGTATATTTTCTCTTTTTGAAACATCTCAGTTCTGGCTTTAAGGCCTTTTCAATTGATCAATTTAAGACCTGGATTAATCAGACTAAACTTTTTTTTATCTAAATTCAGCTGCCTGGGGCATTAATTACATCTACAAAATCAAATCCTCAGAGCAAAATCTAAATTTATGCTTGATTGATGAATATAATTGGTGAGCTATCATTTAGCCAAGCTGAAGCCTGAAAAAGCGTCACACAGGGGTCTGAGATATAGTAAAGTAAATAAGGCACTTGCCTTGCATGTGGCCAACTCAGGTTCAGTTCATGGCACCCCATCTGGAGCTCGTCAGAAGTGATCCCTGAGCACAAAGTAAGCCCTGAGCACTGCTGTTTATGGTCCCAAAGCAAATTAAAAAAACATTATTGAGAACTACTAGGGTTGTGGCTATTGTCCCCTTGTTCTCAAAGCAACATTGAAATATTTCCTCTCACAATAATGAAAATTCCAGTTCAAGTCCTTTGGTTAGAGAGTATAGTTAGAGTACTAAAATGTAGTCTGAATCTCGAGATCCAGCTACTAGTAAAAGTAAAGTAAGGCCCTCCTGTTGATCATCGATTTGCTCGAGCGGGCCCAGTAACGTCTCCATTGGAGACTTTGTTGTTACTGTGTTTGGCATATCGAATACGTCGCGGGGAGCTTGCCAGGCTCTGCCGTGCGGGCGAGATACTCTCGGTAGCTTGCCGGGCTCTCAGAGAGGGACGGAGGAATCGAACTCGGGTCGGCCA